CATACATACATACATACATCATTCATACATCCATCCATCCATGCATACATACATACATATCTATATATATATATAGATAGATATGTGTACAAAGATATATATGTATATATGCATTTATATATGTATTTATCTTTTTGTATTTATTTATGCATATATTTAATTGTTTATACGTGAAACACACATACAAATACGCGCACACACACACATCCATTCATCCACATACACATCCACAACCACACCGAGAGACAGATACATATACATATACATACATACATACATACATACATACATACGTACATACATACATACATACATACATACATACATACATACATACATGTTCGTGTAAATGTACATATACAAAAACATGTACATGTACATGCACACACTACATTACACTATCTATATATATATATATGCAAACGTATTTGTGCTCTATATATTTTCCTTGTGTACATTTTCAAGACACACGCACATGGACATAAATAGGAAGATAGACAGGTAGGCAGATGGATAGACAGTCGAAGACCGACAAAGACGGACAGACAGACAGATAGATAGGGACAGCTAGCTTGATAGATGGAAGCACATGTAGTTGTAACAGATGTATGCATACATAGGTCTCAATCTCTCTGACACAGCCATGTCATCTTGGCCTTCGTCTCCGCAGTGACGGGGAACTTGGGGCGACGGCCCCCACGCGGTCCTAGCCTGAGGACAAAAACCCACGTGGAGATGCAAAAATGCTCGATGGCAGCCCTCAAAAACGAAAAACCCGAAAAACTCACAGCGAAAATTCCGGAAATCCGAGGAGGGAGCTGCCTGCGCTCGGCGAGCATCTCGTCAGGGGGGTTCGCGCGGGAGCCTGGCGATTGCAGATTTTCAGGGGGGTTTTTTGGGCGCTTGGACTTGCTCAGAAATGTTTGAGACCCCTGCTTAAGGCTTAAGCTTTTGTAGAAAGGTCTCAGTGTCAGGCACTCTTTCTACAGAAAGCAACCTCCTCTAAACCTAACTGACATGGAGGCCTCAACTGTCAATCATAGTATCCCTGTTGTCAGTGTCACCCTGCACCTCTGGAGAGCTCAACCCAAAGGACTTCGCAGAGCTTGAGCTTGAGACTTTCCAGCCCCGAGAGCCCGAGCCTGAGTCGGATTCGTAGAGTTCCTCATCGAAGGTGTCCTCCACCTGGCGCTCAAGAGGGCCAGAGGGGTGGGGTTAGGGCCTTTAGGCTTCGGGGAGAAGGAAGGCTTCCATGTGTCAGAACAAATTCTCCAAGGCTGTGAGCCATCACCCCGAGTCCACAAGGCACTGAAGCCTGGCACCCCACAGGCCCGGAAGCTCCGGCCACGGGAAAACCGCCCCCTAGACCGAACCTCGATGTCCGCCCAACGGGATCTGCTTGGGAGGAGGTCCTTCAAGATGGGGGCCTTGGACTCCTGGCATGTCGCGTCGGAACAATTCCGGTCAGATCACTTGGACCAGAGCCTCCGAAGACGTTGTGCGGCTTTTGCTCACATCGTTCTCCTGCTTCGGGAGCTTATGGTGACAGGGACGGGGTCGTCTGATTCCGAACGCTGCTCCCTCAACCAAACAGAACGGAAGGGACCGTATTCAGTGAAAGTGGCCTTTTCGCTTGAGATGACTTGAGATGATCTTCGATGCCGGTCACACAGCATGGCAATGTCGACCACACGGTGGCTGCTACCACAAGGATCTCACAACTGCAGCTTTGATCAGGAAGACCGGCTGCTTGCTGCAGGCAGAATAGCCACCTGGACTTGTCCGTTGGCGAAGTTCTGTGTGGCCTCGGATGGCAGACTCGGCTAGAGACTGAGGACTACATCGTAGGAAATCTCCCTTGTGACGACGCATGAGCCTTGAGCTGAGAGCAGCCTGGTCTGGGGCCACTGGGTCGCTATCAGATTATGGCTTTGGAGAAACCTACGGCCTTCAAGATGCTTCAAAACGCACGGACCCAACCTGAAAGCTACATTCAGCAAGTCCACACCTCCAGCGAGGCTTGAAACTGCGAGTACAATCTACGACCACTCGTACAAAGAGCTGTCTCCTCCATGCTTAGTTCCCAGCTCCCCAGGTGTTGGCCTTTCCGGCTCGTCTCTTGGGCACTTGTCATGGCTTTACTCGGCATTCCACTCCACATCCTCATGGGAACCCTCCCTACTTCACACCTCTCTCCGCCGTATCCGACGCCACCAGCAAATCCTCTAGGCATGCATACGTACGTACATACATACATACATACATACATACGTACGTACGCACAGAGAAAGAGAGTGACAGAGCGAGAGAGATGTATATGTGTATATATATATATGTATATATATATATACATATATATATATACATATATATATATACATACATATTTATATATACATACATATATATATATATATAAATACACATATTTATATATACATATATATATATATGCTTTGTTTGTTTGTTTGCGCCACAGTACAAAGAACGGCCGAAGCCCTGGGCCTCACTGGCATCCTGGCAACGGCTGGCCTCCAGCAGCTGGAGGGTCCAAGCAGAGGGCCAGGGTAGTTGGGCGTTCTGCTTTACAGTAAGGGTCCTTGAGGTTGTGTAGGGTTTTTGGGGTTGTAGGGTATGTAGGGGTTGTTGGGGGATCCTTCGATTTTGGGGTCCGGGGTGGTGGGGTTGTGGGGTTCAGGGTCAGGGTTTGGGGTTGTAGCAGTAGAGTATTGCTGTGTATTGCCACTACCATTATGAACCTGTGGTTTCAAGATGTGGGGCTTGATTTTTGTTCTGTGTTTGTAAAATTGGGCTTTGGGTGGGTTAGTGTTGAGGGTGTCGGGGTTGGGGAGCTGATCAGGCAGTCAACAGTCCTTTATTGGTTTGGACCTGTCTCTGTATGTGTCCATATGCGTTTTGTAACGTTTAACTCTTGACTGCACATCTGCAATTCCACTGAGCTCCTCTGAGCTCCCAGCGGTCATTGTCGGAAACTTGGCCTAGCTGAATCTCAAAACCTGAAGCAGGTCGAAATTGGCAAGCTGAGTAGTTTGTTCGGGGTCCCGCGGTACATGCGAGTGGCGTTGCGATCAGTTCTGGTGCAGTACTCCTGAAGCTTGCGCTGTATCCCAGTGAAGGGATGACTTGACTATCTCTCTCAACACCTCAGCATCCACCTTCATAACTTGCCGCACTTCTGAGCGTCGCACGTGTCGTCCGAGATGAACTAACCTTGCTCGACTAAGGCTCAATGCTGTGACCTTTGAAGCTCCCTTCCTGTGACTCTGTGCAGCTGGGCGGCAATGAAGGGGCGACCCCGCGAAGGATTGCAATCACGAGAGATTGAAAGCTCGGCAGTTCCAACAGCTGCGGTAGCCGAGCACAGATCAGAGCTCAGGATTTGCCGCCGTACAATTTTCTTCACTGAAACGAGTCTACTAACGACTGCGTGGACTCGATCGTTGCACACTTCCAACAACGGCCAGGAAAGAGCACTTCGTCAGCTCCATCAGGCTTTCCCAGGCTGAACAGTTCTGAAAGAAAGCTGAAAGGCTTCAACAACCTCCCCCACCCAAACCGTTGGAAAACTCAGGAGCACCCTCGTCTTTTCGTGCTGTTCCCCCTCGCGAGAAGAGGTGCCCAGGTTGCCGCATCAGTGCGCCGCGGCAGCGGCCTGCAAGTTCAGGCTCTGGGAACACGAAACACACAGACATATTCGGGGCTAGGATTTAGGTGAGCAGGTTTTGGCTTACAACTGTTTGAACTTGTGGGTTATATAAGCGTCAAAGCCTCTGATCCAATTTTGCAGTAGGATTTGAGACAGCAGAAATCCGACTCCAGGACCACACATTTGTGAGGCAAGCGGAGACTCGCGTGCTCCACAACCTGCCAGCAACAGAGCAGCTGCCAACTGCAGCGGGTACGTGATATGTGCCGCCTGTAAAAACAAAGGCCTCAATGTTTCACCTCGAGAAACTGGGCACGAAGTAATGAACTCAACGACTGGCTACGCGGCTATCCGATTGCAAAACGCCACAATGCAAAGCTTTCTGCTACCACGAAAATCCGCGACATCCCGACCAGGAAACCAACCTCTCAGCGCCCCGGGGACGACTGCTTCCACCTGGGCGGCTTTGGACGAATGTTTTTCCATTGGGTTCGCTGCAGCTCAGCTCTGCTGCAGCTTCAAAATGCGCACCCGAGACAAGCCCAGCATGGGGGATGTTGCAGTGACCGTAGTTACGATCATCGCTCGAGGTGATTTCAAGCTCAAACTCACGGAGTGAGAAATCCTGGTTCGCATCTCGCTGAGGTCAAGGCCCCTGGTACTTGTTCATCCGCTTCTTGAACGTTGTGATGCCGGGCTGCCGTTGCTGCACAGGCGCGAGTCGTGTTGCAAGGTCGTGAGCAGCACAAGCACTGCAGCGTTTGCTGCTTACAAAAGGCTGCCACGCTACTCGGATGGGCAGCGTGATGTGAAATCCCCAAATTCATCACACTACATCGGGCATGTCAAAACCCTTCCCATGTGGCAGAGTTCCAGTCTTCGGGCATCACTCCCTGGTTCCCTGGCACTGGCCCTTGGCCCGACAGCTCAAAGTCCTGAATGCCTGGAGCCTCACTCCAATGCTCGAGGATGCCCATCCACGTCATGGCTCCGGGCACGACGCGCCAAGGTCCAGAGATTGACGCGGACAGCGCGGACAGGGAACACACAGACAGCGAAAGCCAGATGCCCCGTCACTAGCAGACTGCCACGGCTGAGGCGAGTTGCTGCATCCTGCTCCAAGATCCCCCAGTTAAGAGAAGGTCGTGCCCATGCATGAGCAGTCAACAATCGGGAAAACCTTGGAAAGAAGACCACGCATGTGCGGCACGATCTGTCCGGTGACGAGCTTAAGTTGAGCGAAGCACGCAACACCTGTCCTTGATTCAACGTGTACCCCGGCCGGTGTACCCGGGACCCTGCTAGTATGGTCGTTGGTGCAAACTCCTGCTTCTTACTTCGCCGATTCGCGTCAGGGTCTACTTAGATCATGAAGCTCTGACTCGAGAGTCTCTACAACCAAAAGCCTGCGTCCAATCTCGTTGCGCCTTGTGCCGGCGGATGCGGCAGGTTCGCCAAAGCTTTCCGAAGCGGACGATCTGCGCGCAGATCATAGGAGCCAAGGTCCATGTTCGGGGATCTTCGGTCTCATATACTATGCTCTACTATACTATTAAGTAGTACTGTGCTGGACTATCCCAATTATTCAATACTGTACTATACTTTACTATACCATACCATAATATACTACACTATTCTATATTATACTATACTATAATATACTATGCTTCGGAACAGGAAAGTCTAAGAACCTATATAGGGGGCTTTGGAAGATACGGACCGCTCCGTGAAAGCAAGAAGACGGATCAAAAGAAAGGAAAGGGAAACGGGGGCTTCTTCCCCTAAAAGCTTATGGCTTAGGGGTTTTTTGGCGCTCTCATCCAAGATCCTGGGCCATATGCTAGTACTTTAAATCGGACCCAAGATCCGACATCCTGGGGACGCCACGATCTTGCACTCCTTGCAACGAGGATAGATGGCGGTCCTGGCCGAGTAGGTCCGCTGCTTTTCGAAGCAGAGATGCTATGGAGCCGAGGGCTTCGAGGCTTTACGAGTTGCCGGTAAGGGCAACCTACTTATCAGTGTTCTGTCCGTGTTGTGTATCTTTGAAGTCAGTGCTCGAGGAATTGCAATGAAGGCTGCATTGTTGAACAAACCTGGCAACTTTGCAACTGACGACGCATCTTGGCCAGGCGTGCGCCTGTAGCGCATGTAAAGCTTCGTCAGGGGCTCGATCACCTGCTGTAGGCCGTCCTGACGCGCAGGAGGGTGTCTATCCGACACCATCGGGGCCTCTAGAGGCACTCGCCGAAGCTCATGGTAAGTTGAAATCTGGGCTCAGTTCCGCCTTCTTTGGAGCGGGCGCACCAGCGGCCGGAAGGAGCTGTGGATTCCTGGCCCACAACGGCTCAGACACCCCGACCCCGACAGCTCCGCGCTGCAGCAACAAGGCCGAGGAACAGAGAGGGGCCCACGAGCTCATCTGCTGAGCTGAAAAAGTCTTCCACAGCCTCAGGGCTCTCTTCGCCACGGGCTCCCTACTTGGACATCGCATCTCAGGTCGAAGCTGTCAGGGCACCATCCACCCCGTCCTGCAAACAGGAGTTTTGTGGGAAATCCACTCCCATGTCCTTTTCAAGCCCCGTCCTCCAGGCAGTCCTGAAGCCCATCCCACGGGGCCTCAAAGAAGCGTGGGGCCGATGTCAGGGCTGAATATGTTCGTTTCGAAGCTGCGGGCTTCTGAAACCGAATAAATCCGGTAAACCCGGACCCGAGCCTCCTCTACCCCTATTGCAAAAGGCACTCCAACGCTCGTCTGAGAAACGCACCAGCTCTTCCTGCGGAAGTGCATTCATGCTCATTGCAAGTAGAGGTCTTCAGAAAAGAAGTCTTAGGAATCGAATGCCGAGGTCCTTGGCCATCTTCGCATTCTGAGCTGCCGGGGGCCTCACAGCGTGCAGTCAAGAGCTTCTCTTTCTAGGCTACGAGCTTCAGTGCTTGGCCGGGTAGGATGCAAGTGAGACAACTACTGAGCAGGAGGATGTTCAATGGCTTTTCTGTACATGGGCCCTCTGGCCCTCCTCACGACACTGCAGCGAACAGGTCGAACAGAGCAGCTGTTGTGGGCTAAGGTTACCATGCACTCTGGGCTGTTAGCGGAACGAAGCTCGGGCGCACATAGCTCAGGGAGAATGCTGCGATGGCGACAACCGCAGCGACCTGAGCACCAGAGATGGCACTTCTGGCGGGGCAGCAAAATTCCAACGGCCCCGATAAGGCCCAGCCCTCAAACTCTCGACTTCCGCCGGCGCAGAACACTGATCACCGGGCGCTTTTGCTTGAAAGGCCTGGTGCTCCCTTCTCCCAAACCCGTATACATGTGACCCTGCGCAGTGCTATTTGGGGCCAAGGCCAGGATGCCTCTCCCATTCCGCGCCCGAGTCTGCGCCTGGCACAGCCCCCCCCGTTTCCAGAATTTTGTAGAACNNACCCCCCCCCCCCCACTCTCCAGAATTTTGGTAGAGCTTAGAGGACAGAAGGTACGTGTCCGTGAATCAGCCCAAGTGCAGCAACTACATGTCTCCACAAGACGGATGCAAGGATCTGTCTTGTGTTACATGTTACTTACTGGTTATGCATATTATACACTATGCACTATATGTTATGTTTTACATACTATAGGGTTTCACACGAGGCAGCAGCACCAAATCAAGTTCGAAGGGTTCCCATGTCTCGCCACGCCTCCCTGAAACTCAGACCGACACCATCCGAACCCTGAAAATGACCTCGGCCTCCAGAACATTGCATTTTGCGCACTTTGCAGGTCTGCCTTGGGCCTTGAACATATGTAGCGTACTACATGGTACCGTATCACTCATAATATGTTACATATATATATATACACA